CTATGGGTCGGAACCGACTCCACGGCACATAACAACAACAACATAGGACTCCTGGAGTCCTGGTGTGGGACTGTGGGTTAATGCGCTGGACTGCAAGGTCAGCAGTTTAAGCTCACCAGCCACTCCTTGGATAGGATCACTATGGGTCAGAATCAACTCAACAGTACAACATAGGAGTCCTGGTGTTGTGCTGTAGGATCAGCACTGGACTGTGAACCACAGGGTTGGCAGTTCAAACCTACCAGCTGCTCCTTCGAAACCCTGTACAGAGTTGCTATGAATCAAAACTGGCTCGATGGCACTTAATAACAACCATATAGGACTCCTGGTATGGCACTGGAGGATAAGCACCAGACTGCTAACTGCAAGGTCAGCAGTTCATATCCACAGCTACAACCAACTCAATGGCAGTTAATAACAACATCACAAAAATCACTTGGGGATCTTGTTAAAATGTACATTCTGTTTCTGTGGTATCTCTCTGGGGGCAGGCAAATTCTCAGCAGGAGGTCGGAACCAGTTCAAAGCCCTGGTACTTGCAAACAGACATATTTCTTATGAGGTCTGGAAACAGGGCAAATATGCACCTTCCACCTGCTTTAATTCCCTCCTCTTGCCCCCAGGAATGCCAACCTGCTGACCTGTACCAGACTGGAAAACACAAACTCTGACCCTGTGAAAAGACCACCATTGTCTGAGTGGGGCGCCTCCTTCTGGGTCATGGGGTCTGGGGGTGGCTGTAGGGGTGGTAGAGCGGGGTAGGTATCTTCTCTGAGCAGAGACATTTGTGGGAAAGCACACATGATTGCCCTGGGAATGTGGGGTGGCCCTTTTAGTACTGGGAATGTGGACAGGGCCATTTCTGTGCCTCAGCTTCCTCATCTATAAAATGGGAACAAGCACTAAGTGGTCTCTAAGTTTCTATGAGGAACCGTTCTTGGTCCTAGCACTTAGAACCTCTGTAGTTTGGGAAACAGTTCCCACCCTTTCTGTCCAACCTGTACCTGCTTCAGACTTTGCTGTCAGGAGATGCTCACATGGGTCAAGGGTGACTCTCAGCAATAAGGAACAATTAGGGAATGGATAGTTGGAAGCTTTGCAGGTTGCCCCATAACTCCAGCTTGATACCACAGGGCATTGGTCTCCTTAACAAGCTGAAGGCCAGCAGTTGCCCCACAGAACTCCAGCCTCAGCTTTAGAGAGGACTGAGATACAGTAGCACCCAGCGAGGGTAGCAGAGACTCCACCAATGACCCTACAGAACCTGGGGAGGTGGATGGAACACTGGGCTGCCACCAAAAATTACCTTTCACTCCTGCCTTTCTTCCCAGAGTGCTGGAAAATGGGGTGCCTTCCGAGTCCAAGAAGGACCAACTGGGATAGGATGGGTCTAGGAAACGATGTCACCTGCTCTAGCCTTGCTGACGACTGCATCCAGACAGCCTGCTTCTTCCCAGAGGGAGACCCAGCCTTGGAGGCTTGTCAGTGACTTTGCACTTAAAGCGCTCATGGGCTCGCCATATGAAAACAATGTGCAGCATTAATATGGTTCTTGGACTCTCGGACCTAAAATGAAGCCTTCTTTGCCTAACACCTGCAGCTTGGATTCAGACTCTAGATCAACAGGACTTCTAGAACCTTCCAAGAGAGCTTTGTGCAGACTGCCCAGACTCAGGGTATATATTCCTAATCCTTGCTCTGAGATAGGCCAACCCAGGAGAAAAATAAATCATGACAGGCAGGGAGGCAAAAAGGCCTGTGATTTGGGGTGTCGGGGAGAGAAGGAAGGTACTATTCATGGCAGTACATGCTCTTTTCTGAGGACGTGAACTTTAGATTCTCTGGCCAGGGTTTCAAGTTGAGAGCCCTTGGAGAGATGTTGGTAGTGATCACAGGGGAAGACCCTAACAGAGGAGGTACTTAAGTCTTTTTAAATGATTTCAAATGTCCATTTCCATTAAAATGGCTTCTCTTTACAGTGCTGGCATTTTTAATAGTCATGTTTAAGATTATAAATTAGAGCATACTTGATAGAAAAATTTAGAAAATGTATCATCCATCACTAGAAGAATATGCTTGAAGAGTCTTAATTTGTATTTTTCCCACAGTCTTTGTTAATGTCTGGAAGAATGCAGTATTTGTAATGGTCTGTGTGCATGGGGACATGTTTCTCAGCTGCAGTTATTTCTAAGGGGGGAAATAAGACTGTCAAGCCCTCCAGATGACAATGTTGGATGAGAACCGGGTCCAGACAGTTAGGCGGGGTCATGTGGCTATTGTTAAGTATGTGAAGTTAATCATAGAAACTTTTGGAAGCCCCAGGACTCAGAGTCAGATACCTGGATTCATACAAACAAAAGTTTCCTGCAACCTCAGCTGTGCCACTGCAGGGACTGTGAATAAGTAGGGTCAAACCCCAGGTCTTGGGATGAGGATTCAATCCAAATGCTGCTGTTTGGAACATCAGCCTGGGGAATGTGAAGTGGTCAGAGGTGAAAGGGTCTTTAGAGATTAGAGGACCTCTGTCTCCTTCCTGTTAACATGGAAGTGATTACCAGGAGAAGGAGTGGAGGTAGAAAATGTCAGAGGGCTTTGCAAACCACACTGTGGTGCTGTGAGGTTTTAAGGAATTGTTGGTCCCACCTAGTTTAGTCCCCTTTACGCTGGGGTGAGAGCCCCGTATTGTGCAGTAGCCACTTTCACATCTTTTGTATCATCTTGTGTACCCAAAAACTACAGTGATTCCTCTGTGAGACCCAACTGACATAGAGGCCCCAGGAACCCGCTCTTTCCCTAAGTAGGTGCTGTTTTTCCCATTCATTCTGGGGTACTTGAAGCACTTAGAACAAGGGCACCCTGGAAATACTTTTGTACTTCGAGAATCCTTGGTCCAGCCTGTTTCTGCTTCAGCAGTCACACTGGGCAGCTTGCAGTTCTCATTTCCTGTCCCTTCTTTACTTCTTACAAATCAAAATGTGCGGATACCCAAGCTTTCCAGCTCTTGGTAATGAAATGCCTCTTCCTGATTAAGCCAGTGGTGCTGGGCATTCTGTTCCCAAATTGCTACCTGGGTTATGATCTCCACCTGGAAAGATATTCTGTCCCCTGTCTCTGCCTGTCTTCCTCCTTCTTGCTGAGGTTGGTAATGTCATCTGAGGCTCAGGCTCATCGCCTCTCAGCCTGCCCCCACCCCAGCTTTCCGAAGAGCAGAAATCCAGAGGGCCTTCCCATCATCCTCCAAGGCTCAGGCAGCTTTGATGGCACCATCATCTCTGTGGTGTGGGGCCTGAACCTTCTTTGGCCCTTCCTGTATTCCCTTATAATACACACAAGAACATGAATCAGAGAGATTGAAGAACTGAGTAACCAGCACTCTAACCATGTTATTGCTGGGAGGTTTCTGGATCTCAGTTTTAACTCTGTAAACGAAAGCATTTGGATAGAGGATCTAAGCCACGATCTATGAATTTAGCTTAGATTTCTAGAAAGAAACTGAATTAAGGTGTCATTCTCTCTAAAATAGCCATAATTTTCTTTGGCTATTCTATAGCTGCATCTGACTCTACCCCATCCATGTGCGCCCTGAGCTGTTTCAAGCCTCCAGCCCTTGCCCAAATATTTTAGAAACATTAGACTTAGTGTCTTAATGAATGAAGTTCATTCTCACTCACCCAGAGTCCTGGTGTGGTGCTGTATGATAAGCACTAGACTGCTAACTGCAAGGTCGGCACTTCAAACCCAGCTGCTCCTCAGAAACCTTATACAGTATTGCTAAGTTGGAACTGATTCAATACCACTTAACATATCTTCACCACAAAACCATTTAGAATCCTTTTCTCCACTTCCATCTCTCTTTCTTTATATGATCTCAGGCAAAGACAAGTGGTAGGAAGTTCTACCTCGATTGTTACTATCTTAAGATCATGGACTCTGGAGCCAGACTGCCTGGGGTTAACCCCTAAATGTGCTCCTTACTAGTTATATGACTGTGGGTGAAATTTGTTAACTTTTCTGTGTATCTGTTGTCTCTTCCTCTGTGAAATGAAGGGCCATCTCAGAAAGCACCCATCACGTGAGGTGGTGTGAAGATTGAATAACTTGTGCCTGGTGTAACATAAATCTATACAACTGTTAGCTGTGATGATGATGATGATGTCATCACTGTTATTTTCATTCTGAAAGAGCAAAGGATGGTGGAAAGAATATGAGACTTGGAGTCAGGAGACCTGCCCACTGACATGTGTGTGGACTGATGCCGATTCTGCACTTCAGAGTGTCCCAATTTTCATACCAGTGAAATTGATACCTTCTAGGTGCAGTGCCAATGAATTAAGAGTTTGATAAACTACGTCACCCCACAAACCAGGCTAAATCTCTTCTTTCCCCCCCATTCCAGGCACACGTTCTGGCAGTTTCGCCATGAGAACCCCAAGACCCGGGTTGGGGGCCCTCCTCCTGAGGGGCTTCCTGGCTTCAACAGCGGGGTGATGTTGCTGCACCTGGAAGCCATGCGCCAGTCCCCACTCTACAGCCGCCTGCTGGAGCCGGCGTGGGTACAGCAGCTCACCGACAAGTACCACTTCCGCGGCCACCTCGGGGACCAGGACTTCTTTACCATGATTGGCATGGAGCACCCCGAACTCTTCCACGTGCTAGACTGTACCTGGAACCGTCAGCTTTGCACCTGGTGGAGGGACCATGGCTACAGTGACGTCTTCGAGGACTACTTCCGGTGTGAGGGTCACGTCAAGATCTATCACGGGAACTGCAACACTCCTATCCCAGAGGACTAGTGCATCCTCTGAATCTGCGGGAAGGAATGGGCCACCTCTGAGAAGGCTCCTAGGGCAGTGTCTGAACTCCTACAGAGACACTGCATGGACGCCCTTTGTGTGACCCAGGTGCTATAGACCTCCCACCTCCTATCACCTCTCGCCGCCCCATGGCCATTCTCCTGGGACCACCCTGTGAGGGCTGGCCTGCAGATTGCTGGTCTTGGGGGCCTTCTTACTCCAGGGGCTGAGGCATCGTGAAGGACAGTTCATGGCACATGTAACCATCCGCAGAGAGCTAGAAGACATTGCATATGAAGAGAAGAAAGGAAAGAAAACAATACTGCTTGCCTTGAGTCCCCAAGGAAAATGGAAACCCTTTTAAAAAAGCAGCTTTTCTTGGACCCACTATAAAGTTAACTTAAATTGACAGGCTTCCATCGTTTTGCAAGAAAGAATGAACACCATTGCTATAGCTCTCAGTGAATTCTAAATAAGCGAGTCGGGCTTTAAACAAGCTGCCCGGAGTTTAAATGTCAAAGTGAATGCCATCCTTCACATATGCCTTAGGAAACTGGATGCTTATTCCCAGGAGGCCCATGATCTTGATGTAGGTTTAAAGACCAACACCTTTTTGGAGGGCCTTAAGGGCCAGTTTAGGACCAGTTTGTGACCCGTATAAGAAAACTGTTGTCGTTATTTTGGGATTCATAGCTTTTCTTTTATTCCTCTGCTGTATTCCCATGACCCTTTATTTATCCATGCGGACTCCAGGTGAACAAACTGCTCAGAAGTCAAACCCCAACGACATGCAATAGAATTCTCTGGTCTGGGCAAGTTCATCCCAAAGAGGAGCCCCATGTGTGAACTTGGGAGAGGGTATCACTACAGGTGTGTCAGCATTCCAGTCTCCATGTGAAAAATCAACAACAACAACACCACACACACACACACACACACCGCGTCGTTTTTGTTACATCCTTACTGCGACTTGTCAGACTGTATACCTTAGTAGAGATTAGAGTGTCATTTCTTGGTTTCTTTTTGGTGATTCATTTTGTGGAGTTCAGCTGAGGTCATTGAGGGAGAAATGTTATTGGATGTTTATCTTACTTTGTTTCAATTTCATTTCCTTTTGTTAAATTTCTTTCTACCATGAGTGAGAATAGCTAATAAGTAACCTTTGAGCTTTATGTTTTTTGTTCTCTGATCACAGTTTTCCACTGCACAAATGTTCTGAACCAAGTGCGTAATCAATGTCATTCAGTTTTCCTCATCTTCATGGGTTTAAGCTACAAGTGCTGACTGCAGGTCTTTGAGGACCATATGGGAGCATGTTTGGAAGGACATCAGGGAGGGTAGGAGTCTTGGTATGGTGCTGTAGGTTAAGCATTGGACCACAAGATAGGCGATTCAAACCAACCTAGGAAACACTATACAGCAACCACATTTGGAACTGACTTGACGGCACTTAACAACAACAACAATGCCCTTGTCTTGCGTTGAAAGTGAAAATCATTTCATTGTAGGTATCTGAATGGTCCATCTGCTCCTGGAAGCAAAAATGGTCCCATCTTTCCATTTCTTTTTCATCCGTCTTACTCCAAACTGTCCAGTTACATTGTCACGTGGTCAGGTGAAGCCCATTTCTCTCTCGACTCTGCTATGACAGAACTGGTCGGTTCTCTTAGTTATTTGATTTTCTACTTATAACTACCGGTTATTGAATGCTCACTGTGTGCCAAGCATTGTACTGGGGAGTTTGTATACACTGTCAGTCCTACTCATAAAAATGTCCTGAAGGTAGCTCAAATCCTAACATTTATTGTAAGAAAATAGCAAGAGATGTGGAATGAGTCATTGGTAATCACAGTATTTTTATAAAAGAGAAAAAATTAAAATCAACTTGAAGTATTGGATCAGGAAGTGGTCAAATAATGTAAGTTAGATCATCGATATAATGGAATATTTTAGGTAGCCATTAAAAATCATATTTTTAAGAATATTTCATGCTTTGGGAAATGCCACGATGTGTTATTAAGAATGCAAAAATATAAAATTATATGTATGTGCAATCCTAGTCTTATTTTTTCAGTTACATATACACAGTGGACATATATGTCTCTGTGTGTACTGAGCAAATCTGTTTTATTATGTTCCAGTAGCTGAACTCCTAAGAAACTATGTGTTTCAAATACTGTATCATAAAAACAATTATTTTAATGGGAAAAAAAAGTGGGTTAAAGCCTAGAAAATTTTAAACTCACAATAATAAACATATTTTTCCTGCAATAATTTCAATAATAAAAAATATTTCTGTAGTGTGCTTGTAAGTGTATTTTGTTATTGCCAGGAAAAAAATAATAAACTTCCTGATCAAAGTAGTAAAATACTAAACAAAGTCTCCTCATATACTTTTGAGAACACCCACCCGAAAGCTTTCCATCACCCACCACTAGTGACCTTGACCTTCCAGCTCCATGGGGAACAGCAAAATAATACCCCACAGGAAATGCAGCCAGATCAACAAAGCAATTCTGTGTTCCTATGCTTTACCTCAAGCTGCCTTTTTAGCACATCTTACAGGTACTGGTTCCTAATTGGTATCCTGTTAAAAATCAGTGTCATGCAAACATAATCAATGAATTGTACTGTGTTTAATTTGCTTTATGAAAGCATTCACTATAGAACATTTGTCTGTACATATTTGTAGAACAGAAGTCTGGAAAGACTGTACTAGGATTAAGGTGATTTGTTAAAAATCTTCATCCGTATTTCTTTCTGTATTGTCCACAGTGACTGTAAATGACTTTTCTAATAAAGATAAAGACTACATGATATAAAATTGTAACACCCCTCCTCACTTTACAGGTACTGTTTATCAGAACTGAGTCCCTGGATGGTACCAAAGGTTAATTTGCTCAATTGCTAACTACAAGGTTGGACGTTCTCATACACCAAGAGGTGCCTTGGAAGAAGGACTTGGTGATCTACTTACAAAAGTAGCCATTGAAGACCCAATGGAACACACTTCTACTCTGATGCACATGACTTGCAACTGTGAGTTGGCATTGACTCAACAGCAGTGAGTTTATTACGGCTATCTTACAGCTCAACGGCTCCATATGGTAAGCATTGGACTACAAACCACAGGGTCCACGGTTCAAACCCATCCACTCTAAGGGAGAAAGATGGGGCTTTCTGCTCCCACAAAGACTTAAAGCCTCGGAAATCCTGTACAGGGTCACTATGAGTTGGAACTGACTTGATGGCACTTAACAACATCTTACAGCTCATGGTTGACCTTTTGAAATGGATGGCATCACCCCAGAAGAAAGCAGTCTAGGTTAAGCAGGTACTTGGTCTTCAACTTTCCTCATTGATGCCCTAATTTTCCACATAAAAGTGATCCTAATAACTCAAACCTCAAACCTGCTGTTACGTACCAGACACAATCATCTTTTGTATCTCCACAGAGTCTAGCCCACAAACAATAAATATTGGCCTTCAGGAAGCTTTTGGGCTTCTTGAAAGGGTTTATTTTTGTATGTTTGTCAAACCTAACAAGCTATAGGACTCCCTTCAATAATATGTCAATCGAGCAAAGAATGAGAATGTCATGCTGGTTCTGTGGGCACCCAATCTACACTACACAAGGAGTATTTAAGTCAAGATAGTAAGTGAACCCGTGACTTCAGGCCAAATCCCTGCTAATGTTCGCACTTCCTGGCTGATCTTAGTATGGGGTGCCCAGAGGTTATGCTGAGTCTGGAGTTGGGTACAGCAAGCAGAAATTCCCAAGCAAGCAGGCTGCCATAGTAGAGAAATCCCCCACCCTGAGTCAGACCTGACCTTGAGTCTGCATCCTGCCCTCACTACAGGGACAAGGTCACCTCTTTCCTTAGAAGACCCCTACCCCCACCACCGGTTGTGTAAGGAAAAGAGACTTGGTAGTCTGTGAAAGGAGCTCTGGTAGCATAGTGGTTAGGAGTCCAGCTGCTAACCTCAAAACCATTCCACGGGAGAAAGAGAAGGCTTTCTGCTCCTACAAAGATTTCCAGCCTCAGAAACCCTATGCAGGGTCCCTATGAGTCGAAACTGACTCCACGGCACAACACCACAAGTCTATGAAATTTTTCACAGATGTAAGAGAATTGTATTTCTTACTTAAAATATTCTTTTAGAATACGAAATGACAGCAATTTGGGGGCATCAAGATGTCTTGTTAGCATTGCCCTGAGCCTGGTGGGTGAACACTCTGTTGTAGGCTGGCAGGTTTTCTGTTAGCTGTACCACTCTGATGATGTGGAGGCTCCACCGGAAACTTGTTAGGCATTGGCTAAACCCCCTTCCGCTCAGAACCTCAGTTTCTTCACCTGGGAAAGGGTTGGACTAGATCTCCATTGTGGCTACCAGGTGTTCATATGCACCCACCTGGGTTTCCATATGTACCTGGCAGGGAATCAATCAAATGTGAAAGCTTCAAGACCTCAACTCACAATCTACTAACTTGAAATTTATGACTATTCCATCCCAAGACCACTCTTCTAGGCTCAATTTGTCCTGTTTTCTGTCTATGGAATCTTAACATTTCCATCCCCAACACTTATAAGTGAATGGTTTTCTGGGTTGTAAAGTTTCACTTGCATCAAAAGTTGCATTGGCAGAGACCCATTAGTAGCCATTTGTTTAGGAAAAATAGAACAGTTACTATTTGCAGTTCACTTCTAGTAGGGGATCTAGTGGTTACAAAGATACTGTCCTTATAGAAAAGCTTGATAATGTACACAAAAAGTCTGAAGGGCAGAGCAGAAATAGGAACTATTCTCCATTAGGTTTGAAATGAAAATCTCTTTTTCATACAAGTTGTATAGTAGCCCTGGTGCAGAAAAGGCTGCTTAAATCCCATTAGAGAAGTAGACATAAATTTTGTCTTCCCTTGGCCTAGAAAATTGGTTACAATATATGTCATAGGAAGAATATTGCCCCCCTCCCCAAAGATTCTACATCCTAATCCCCAG